TTTGATTTTTTCCACTTTTTGCTCTAAGCAAAGAGAGACCAATAGTTGCATCTTACATGGCAGCTTGTAAGCTTTTAGGAACCCAGTCGCTACTCATCAAATTAGGATGTAAAAAACAATGTTTTTGTGCTACATTGTGCCAATTTAGCTTGATGTCCCCTGCAACCATAATCCCAAGCCCACAGGCCCAGTGATTTACTCCTTGAAGGTGCTTGGTTGTGGCTAAAAAATTATCATGATTTTGTCCACTGTTAGCTGTATAATGTATGGGGACATTTTATAGCACATACAAATATGTATGTAGGAATCATCTGCCAAAACTATATATAGTCATGGGTATATTCCCATTCCCCTACCCATACCTGATCTTCTTGCCTGTCTACCTGTATATCCATCTGTACATTAGTGTTTATTTTTTACTGATAATGCAGTATTGTTATGTAATAGTATTTACCTTTTTTGTCTCTACTTCTTGTATATTTCTCAGTGTCCTCCTTTTCCTTAGTGATATTGTGTTGGTCACACTTTTGTTATATTACCTTTTCCTTCACCCAAATCAACACATGTCTATTAACTCGTTAACAATTTTCCCTCCCTTCCCCTTGCATCCCTGGTAACCAACAAAGAAAATCTCCTTCCTTGTATAAACAAACCTTTCCTGAACTTTTTATGGTAATGTACTCGTACGATATTTGTCCTTCTGTAATTACTTCACTCAGCATAATGTCCTCTAAGTTCATCCACAGTATGAGATGATTCATAGATTCTTCATTATTCTTTAATGTTGCATATTATTCCATTGTGTATATGTACCATAGTTTGATTATCCATTTGTGGTAGTTAAGGTTGTGTGTCAACTTGGCAGAGCCTGATTGAGTGGCTGGGCAACTGGTGGTAGTTATTCCCCGTGATGAGACTGGCAATCAACTCCATGGTGGGATCTACCACAAGCAGCTGAGTAGCTGCTTTAGGGATGTGGTCTCCTTCCCATATACTAGAAGCAGCTTTGGGAATGGTCTCTAGCTTTTTGGCTTGAACCCTGCATGTAGCCGAGTCGTTGTTCAGCAGCCTGCCATGCTCTACTGACATTGGGACTTTTAAAGGACTTGAATTAATGTCCTACCATGTGGTTTGGTAACATTGGGACTGTGCCATTTTATTTGTTGACCTTGGGTTTGTCAGCTTCAGCAGCCAGCAGCTGCCTGAGTGAAGAGATGCCTCTAGCTTGAGTGGTCTAGGAGCAAGAGACAGAGCTCAGGTCCAAGAGTAAGGGGCTTTGACCCAGCCCCTAGAGCCTGGTACTTTGAACTCAGACTTCTAGCCTCCCAAATAAACTCCTGTTTGTTCAAGCCATCCCATTTGTGGTATTTTCTGTTAGAGAGGCACAGAGGTAACCAAAACACCATTCATTTGTAGAGGGACACTTAGATTGTTGCCATATCTTTGCTATTGTAAATAATGCTGTAGTGAACGTGGGTGTGTGTATCTATTCATGTCCTGGACCTCAACTCTTTAGAATATATTCTTAGTAGTAAAATTGCTGTATCAAATGGTATTTCTATTTCTGACTTTTTAAGGAAGTGTCATACCATTTTCCACAGTGGTTGTACCATTTTACAGTCCTGCCAGCATTGTATAAGAGCATGCCCTTGTCATCATTTGTTGTTTTGATTTGCATCTCTGAGTTCTGGTGGCATAGTGAATAAAGCACTTTATGGCTAACTGGAAGGTCAGTGGTTCAAACCCACTGGCTGCTCCACGGAAGGAATACAGGACAATCTACTTCTGTAAAGATCTACCCAATGGGGATCACTATGAGTCAGAAATGACTCAGTGGCAGTGAGTTGTTTTTTTTTTTTTTTTTTTTTTTAATGGCTAATGATCATGAGCATTTCTTCATGTGTTTGTTGGCTGCTGAATATATTCTTTAGTGAAGTACCTGTTCATGCCCTTTGCCCATTTTTTAATTGGATTGTTTGTCTTTTTGATGTTGAGGTGTTGAAGTTTTCTGTAAATTTTGGAGATATGTCCCTTGTTGGATATGTTGTTGCCAAATATTTTTTCCCACATGGCCTGAGTCTTAAGCAACCCTTCCTGGCTACTTTAACCAAAGACATAGGGTAAGGGGCTAGCATTTATTGAGAATCTGCTACATGCCAGGCACCAAGCTTGGTACTTCACAAATATACCCTTATTTTAATTCAAAACTCTTCTAGAGTAGCTAGTTTACTCTGTCTTTTAGGTAAAGAAAATGAGATCCCCAAGAATCTAGTATAAACAACCCAAGATGACACACTAGTATCAGAACCAAGCCTGGTCTGAGTAGCATCAGTGGTGGGGGGGCAAGGGAGGGAAGAGCAGAACTCACTGGCTAACACTGTCAAAGGGAGGTGTCACTAACATGACTGTCTGCTAAAAAGGCAGAGAGGCCACATGTTCTGACCTCTAACCCCACAAGAGGAAGACAGGATCACCATCAGTAACCCAAGGCCTATTCCTACAAGGCCAGACATGCTGCCTCCCTCAAGCCCTTTCACCAACCGTTCCTCCCAAAGCACCCACCACCTCTCTCCTGGGTTCAATAATTCACTGCAGTGGCCACACAGAACTCACAGATTATGGGGTTTATTAGGGAAGCACATCTGGCTACAATTCAAGTTCAGGAAAAACGCTCAGTCTCTCTCCCAGCCCACAGTCTTTCCTAACAGTCTCTCTCTCTCAATAGTGAGTGTCCCTCAGTGTCTCGCTCAGCAATGTGCGTCTCTTTCAGGACCATGTGTCTCTTTCAGCAGTACATCTTCCTCAGTCAGCAGTCAGAGAAAGACTTCTTCTGCCTCTAGGAGGCCTCCTTTTGAGCCTGGCAGAGTGGCCAAACTAGCCAATCGTAACATCAGAATTCTAAGCACCTGAGAGAAAGCAGGAACCTCCCAGAACATTGCTTTGTGTTGCGCCCAACAGAAATACCCCAGGTGGATAACTTACAATCAGGAGCTCCTCAGTTGCTCACAGTAAGTTCCACCACAGAGTTTACAAAGACTCGTGGCTAGAAAAGCCATACCAGGCAATTTACTACACCACACCGTCTATACAATTCTTGTGCAGTGTTTCAGCAGAAATTATTTTTTATAAAAATATCCCTGTAGTTAGTTACAATAGCAAAAACATTTTTTATAAGCCAAGCTTGTGTGTATCAATATACCTACAAGGTTAAAACTCTATGCTGATTTACATTTTGCAATTAGGTTACATTCAAATGTGCTTCTATCACAGCTGTCATTATTACCCAATTACAATATGCTTCGAATCACATAGTTTTGTCTGCATTGCTGCAAGCATGCACTGTTTTCATTGTTGCTGGTGTTTTTATGGTCACTGATTTTGTCATATTTTCTGGTGTTTTAGGTACAATATTGTAGTAATTAGTATTTGTGAACCTATATCAATATGTTTTTGAGAATGAGGTAGTAATTATAGAGAAAGAAGGAGGAAAAACCAAAAAAGGCTTCTGTTCAGTTACTAATAATGTTCAATGTAGAAAGATTTTACAAAACAGTTTTGTTAATATTCATACAGTCTAAGAAATGTTATTACATTTAAGCAATTTACAAATACTTTTATCACATATTATTCTATAGTTGAAATTGAAAACAAACATTCCTAAAGATTCTGTATGGTCTGGTACAGGAGGAGGTCCACAGGGAGGAGTGACACCACGAGTTACCTCTCTGGGTGACACCACTTACTGGTCTGTCCCCAGAGGTCATTAGCCCTTTCTCTTCATTCCAGCATCACTCTCCCAGTCCTATCCATACTTTAACACACTGGTCCTAACAAACTAGGTTGTGAATAAATATTGTTAAATATATGCATAAAGGGGAGCTCTGGTGGTGTAGTACCTAAGGCATTTGACTGCTAACCAGAAGGCTGGCGGTTTAAACCCACCAGCCACTCCTCGGAAGGAAGGTTGGGCAATCTACTTCCGTTGTGATACCACCTTGGAAACCCAAGGAGGGGTCACTATGAGTAAAATCAACTCGACAGCAGTGAGTTTGATTTTTTTATATGTATGCATAAATAAAATACTATATTATACCATACCATAGGTTTTTAAATTTTCATTTGTGTCATTGATTTAATTATTCACTTGGTTTTATATTTTCATTTGATTGATTTATTCGTAATTATAAGGTGTTGGTTGTTAGCCATTACTCCCTTTATCTACCAGTATCAGCTGCCATGAAATTGATTCCAACTCATGAAACCCAAGGTGCATCAGAAGGGAACTGAGCTCCATAGGGTTTTCATTGTGATTCTGGAAGTAGATCACCAGGACTTTCTTGTGAGGCACTTCTGTGAACTTGTGCCTCTAAACTTCTGGCTGGTAGCCAAGCATTTTAACCCGTTTGCAACACCCAGGGACCACTCCCCTCATCTACAGCCATGTTTTTTAGTCATTGGTGGGATAACAAGACTTTAAAATGTATGCATGAATTCAGACAAAACCTCAAAGGGCCATGTATCTGGAGTCATTGGTGCTCCCAGCCTTCCATGAGTTGCTTTTATGAATCCTTTTTGGTCCAATACCAACAACTTTATTGAGAGATAATAAGATGGCTCCTAAGATCCACATCCAGATTGTTAACAGTATTACTTATTAGAGTTCAGCATTGCCTTCTTAGTGCCCAAAGCAGTGAGCTTCAATGGAGCGCTTTGATTGATTGATTGATTGATTGATTGATTTAGTGGGCCCTAGGAAGTGGTTACCCAGTCAACTTTCTTTCTTCATATTGGCTATTAGAAATTTAGTTTTAAAGTTTTAATTCACAGCTCATCTTTATAGCAACTATGTCAGACTTCTTAAAGTATTTTTTTAAAGTCTCCTCACTTCTGGCTCCATTGTGTGTCTCTTAGTTTTCCTTCTCTTTTTCAATATCTGAATTCATGTACTTGGATGGACCACATTAATTTTCTCTTAAAAAGCCTCTCTCCTTTTCATACAGGTACTGTCTTTGGAAATGGGAAAACCTCTGATTATCTGCTGCTGGGAAACTTTGTTTACACTGTAAGTGAGGACATTTGCCTCGTTTGCTTGTAAAATGGATTCCTATGTGCTTTTTTCCCAAAAAACTTTAAAATTTCTGAATTTAAGGGTTGTTTACACTTTCCTTTAAAAATGAAATAAGATCGTTTGACTTTTAGAGATTATTTTACATTGTTGTTGTTGTTGTTGTTATGAGCCGTCGAGTCATTATGTTTTTAAAATACTTAGATTCACTGTTGTTATAGGACCTTCATTACTATTGATTTCAAATATTCTCTCTTTACTCTTATTGCCTCCTGTTTGGCTTTCTTTTTCTTCCTTGTCCCTATTTCTTCAATTTTAAGTTACCCCCGTTGTTAATGCTTTCTTGCTTTCCAGAATTTATAGCAAATGTTATCCAACTTTTCATGGACCTGTAACCAGAAATTCCTTTAGAGTCTCATGATAATTAAAATAGGACACAAATCTCTAGATTTTGTGACCTTTAAGCCATGAAGGCCCAGCAGCCACTCTGTGTAAGTCAGTATGCTGTGTGCTTGTGGAGGATACTCAGAAGTGTGAGGGTCCATCCCTGTTGTTAAAGAGCTGAAAAATGTTTTAAAAACATTTCCCCCTTAAAAGTCAAAGCATAACCTGAATGCTAATGCCCAAGGTCACATAATTAGCATCCAATAAAAGTTTACTCCAGCCTTCAACTCTGCATTCCCCTTCTAGTGCTCTTCCTCTGTGCTCCTGTGCCCACTCTTGACAAAGCTTCCTCTGTGTGGGAGGGCAGTGTACCATTCTGAATATGAAAGAGCTGGCCGAATGGCTGACTCAGGTGGTAGAAAAACTGTTTATATGGTGTTTAACTACCAAGTTAACTACCAAGAATAACTGAATGATAGGAAGTTAAAGTCTGTAGGTAACAGGGATTTTGGCATCTCTAGTATCCCCTTTCTGTTGATGTCAATCCGGTGAAGTACTTTAAGAGAAAAGCAGAAGTTTTTTGGAGGCTAGTGGTTTGACCTTATACAACATGATTGCAAAAACAGAAATATAGAGATACTTGATGGAATAAGTTAGAAATTCATCAGAATATATATCATAGAAGGAGCCATGGTGGTGCAAATGGTTCAGCACTTGGCTGATAGCCAAAAGGTTGGCAGTTCAAACCCACCAATCTGCTCCTTGGGAGAAAAACCTGACCATCTGCTCCTGGAAAGATTACAGCCATGAAAACCTTGTGAGGCAGTTCTGCCTTCTCACACAGGGTGGCTATGATTCCATATTGATTCAACAGCATCCAAAAACAACAACAAAATACATCATGAACATCTCTCATGGATACTTTAAAATATCCTAGGCCCAGAAGGGTATTTTTCTTTAATTTATTTTAAACTGTCTCTTGTTAGGTGCTGTTGAGTCAGTTTGGGCCCATACTGACCCTGTATACAAGAGAAAAAGACACTGCCACGTCCCGTGCCATCCTCACAATCCTTGCTATGCTTGAGTCCATCATTGCAGCCACTGTATCAATCCATCTTGTTGAGGGTCTTCCTCTTTTCTGCTAACCGTTACTTTACCAAGCATGACGTGCTTATCTAGGGACTGGTCTCCTGATAACATGCCCAAAGTACAAGAGGTGAAGTCTCACCTTCTTCACTTCTAAGGAACATTCCAACTCTACTTCCTCGAAGACTTGATTTGTTCACACTTCTAGTAGTCCATAGTATATTCGATATTCTTTGCCAACACCACGAATGAAATGTATCAGTTCTTTTGCAGGCTTTCTTATTCATTGTCCAGCCTTCACATGCATATGAGGCTATTGAAAATACCATGGTTTGGGTCAAGTACACCTTAGTCTTCCAAGTGAAATCTTTGCTCTTTAACTCTTTAAAGAGATCTTTTGCAGCAGATTTGCCCACTGCAATATGTCATCTGATTTCTTGACTGCTGTTTCCATGAGAGTTGATTATGAATCCAAGTAAAATGAAATCCCTGGCAGCTTCCATCTTTTCTCTGTTTATCATGATGTTGGTTATTGGTCCAGTTGTGAGGATTTTTGACTACAACTGAAGGCTGTAGTCTTTAATCTTCATCAGTAAGGGCATCAAGTCTTCTTCATATTCAGCAGCAAGGTTGTGCCATTTGAATATCACAGGTTATTAATGGGTCTTCCTCCAATCCTGATGCCGCATACTCGTCATATAATCCAGCCTTTCAGATTATTTACTCACCTTACAGTCAAATAAGTAGAGTGAATGGATACAACCCTGATGCATACATGTCCTGATTTTAAACCATGCACTATCCCCGTGTTCCGTTCAGACAGCTGTCCCTTGGTCTATGAACAGATTCCTGATGAGCACAATAAAGGTCCTGGAATTCCCATTCTTCACAGTGTTACCCATAATTTTTTATGATCCACATAGTCAGATGCTTTTGCATAATCAGTAAAACACGGGTAAACAACTTTCTGTTATTTTTCTTTATTTTAAACTCTAGCTGTTGTTCTAGAACATTTTGTATAGCTTAGTTTAATTAATATTTACACTTTAATATGAGTTTTATTTCCACAGCCATTAATCCTAACTTGCCATTTGTATCCTACTCAGAAAGCCCCCCCATCCCACTTTAACTGAACTTTACAGTCCCACTGGGTCATAATACAAACACAGATACTATGTGCAAACCTTTAAAGTGCCTGTGACTATGAGGAGGTAGTTCAAGCATTTGTTAATCATCAGTGCTAGACAAGCATCACATACTCATCACCACAAATAATAGAAAGAGCTCAGCGTTCACTTGACTAGTAACAATATTTTTAGTTTTATTATTAATTATAAATGCATAATAACTATAATAATAGGCAGTATTGTGCCAACCACTGTTCTGAATGTTTCACATTTAGTGTTTTACATTAAAATTTAAAAAAAAAAAAAATTCCCGAGGTAGGTATGCTTTCTTAGTCCCAGCTGACAGATGAAGGAGACACAGAGAATAAAGATAGTCTGACTCCAGGATGTGTGCATTTAATCAATACTCTACACAATGGAAAACACAGAGCAGTTCCCTTGTTCTCCAATTGACAGCATAGTCATCATCAATGGTGCAGGAATAGCAGACTGTTATATCCTACTTTTTAGAGTTTTAAATAAGTAAAGTTGCAGAGTAAATGTTTAGATTTCTTAATATCCACTTATTTTACTTTTATAATTTTCTTTAAAATTTAGCAAGTTTGACTTTAAGTACTAAAGATGACATAAAATAAAGTAAGCTTGACAACCCTGGTTAATGTCGACATCTTCTTCACTGCTATTCCTGAATTACTCCAAAGGCAAGGAGACACGTACCAAGAGCTTTGGGTGGATGATAAGTCTGAGGAGATGAGGAGAAGCAGGGAAGGGTGAGCCGAGGGTGACACCAGTGGTTCTGACCCATTATGATCATAATGCCCACCCACCCAGCTAATTCACTTGTTTGCTTGTTGCGTGTACAAAGCAAGCAACATAGACTCTCAGTCCCCTGTCTGATTCAGATACCAGTCACTTAAAAATCTCATTTTCATTCATTTGATGAACTGTCACATTTGTGAAATAAAATAATGTTTTTCCTTCTGTTTTAGTTTGTGGTGATAACTGTGTGTTTGAAAGCTGGATTGGAGACATCTTATTGGACATGGGTAAGACTACCTCTGATCATCACCTAGAAACATCACATTGACTTATATGTTATTTCTTTTCCTTTTTTTTCTTTCCATTCTAGCTTCATGTATCCTATTATTCTAGCCCCATGGGTTGCTGATTGTGGGGGAAATGGAGTAGAGAAGGGAAGAACTGAGGATTCTAGTTTGGATGCACCAAATTAAACAAATTTCAGTGTATTTATTTGGAGTCCCTGGGTGGCACACTTGAGTGCCCGCTGAAAGGTTGGCAATTCGAGTCCACTCAGAAGCATGTTGAGAGAAAGGCCTGGTAATCTACTTCCAAAAAATCAGCCATTGACAGCCCCATGGAGCACAGTTCTATTCTGCTACTTACTGAATGGGACCAAATCAGTGGAACTGTTTTTTGTTTGTTTGTTTTAAATAAATAGTTACTACACAGCTTCTCAGAGCCTTTAATATGTTATGGTATTGTTTTGGTCCTCTAGTGTTACTCTAACAGAAAATATCACAGATGGGTGGCTTTGACAAACAGGAGTTTATTCTCTTATAGTTTAGGAGGCTAGAAGTCTGAGTTCAAAGTGCCAGCTTTAGGGCCTATATGAAAGCCTCTCAACCTTGGGCTTCAGCTCTGCCTCTTGCTTCTGGCCCACTGGAGCTAGAGGCTTTTCTTTACTCAAGCAGCCACTGGCTACTGAGGCTGACAAACCCGAAGTTGAGAAGTAAAATGACAGTCCCAAGATTACCAAACAACATGGCAGGCCACTAGTTCAAGTCCAGAGACAGTCCCAAGACTGGCAGGCAATCATGGCAGGTTGCTGAATGAAGATTCAGCTACATGCAGGGTTCAAGCATGCCAGAAACCTCGGCAACCTTTCTCAAAGCTGTTGTCTTATATACTAGAGGCAGACGACATCCCTAAGGCAGCTATTCAGCTGATTCCACCATGGAGTTGATTACCAATCTCATCTTGGGGAATAACTCCATCCATGTGCCCAATCACTCAAAACCAGGCCCAGCCAAGTTGACACAGAACTTAACTACCACAGGTGTATTGAGAATAACCTAGGCATGAAGGATGCTTTCAAACATACCTGACTGGGAATCTTTTCTTAATAGGACATGTCACAAGACTGACATCCTGTAGAAAACCCATTGGACAATCATTCTGAAGACCAAAAACGTTACTGTAATATTTATCTTCAGACTTTCATTCTGGATAAAACAAGTTCCATTTTAGTTATATTAATTCTGAAGTACATTCCCCATATCCAGGTAGAGAGACCCAGTAAACAAAGGGAATTAAAATTGGATGCTCAGGAGAAGGATTGGCACAAGAAATTTGGATTTGACAGGCATTAGGATACAAATTACATTCTTCCACGTCTCTAACATCTTTCAGCAAGAGTGTACGGAGCAAAAGTAAAGTAGGTTTGAAGATGGCAGGGGACAGAAAAAGATAGAGGAGAAAAGCGCCAGAAGACACAGAAAGAACAATTCTAACTTCGAGTACCACAGTCACCATAACAGCTGCAGAAGAGATGAAAACAGCCACCTCTCCCCCAAAAGAAACAACCAAACCCACTGCCATCCAGTCGATTCCCACGCATAGAAACCCCTACTGGGTTTCCAAGGCAGTAAATCTTTAGGAAAATAGATTGCCCAGTCTTCCTTCCATGGAGCAGCTGGTGGGTTTGAACTGCTAGCCTTCTCTTAGCAGTCAAATGCCTTAGACATTGCACTACCAGAGCTCCTTTTCATTTCTGACCCACAGCAACCCCATGTGTTACAGAGTAGAACTGCACTCTATAGGATTTTCAAAGGTGGGTCACCAGGGCTCTGGATGGATTCGAGCCACCAATCTTTCAGTTAGTAGCTGAGCACTTAACAGTTTGTGCCACCCAGTGACTCCATGAAAGAAGTTAACAATTAAGGATTCAGGAAAAAAATAAATAAATAAAATGATTTAACTATTCCTATAGATAACATTTTTATGAGTGTAATAAAAAAAAAAAAACTTAACAAAGGAATTTGTAAAAGCTTCCTTTGTGTTTGTGTACTTAGTCTGCCTAACAATGTTTAAATACAGATTTCCTTCCTTCACAGTTCAGCCACATAGCCATATGGGGCAGCATTGCACTCTGGGTGGTGTTTTTTGGAATCTACTCATCGCTGTGGCCTGCTATTCCAATGGCTCCTGATATGTCTGGAGAGGTAATGGTACAGTTCTATTAATTCATGATCCAACAGAACCTTACAGATCAGTGTTCATTAATGAGTATTTGGCATGATTTTCCATTTTGTTGATTTAGAATAGTTCATGACCATTTGAAAGCTCTTTATGCATTCCACAATTGTGAGTGATCAATCTTGAGAGACTGTTTTAAACTGGAACATTTTACTTAAATCTAACTTATCCTCTCAGACACATTGCTGGACCAATAAAACATGGTTGCAAGGAACTTGAATCATGTTAAGAATATCCACGTAGACTATGCTACTTTAAATTTAGACCATAAATCCACAAATATATTTTGGATCAAAGATTTGGGGAAAATGGGGAGTTATGTATTTGGTCCAGTCTATCATTTCTTTTGTTATCTCTTATTCAAAAGAAAAGTCAGCTGTCACTAGATTAAATGCACTTTTTTGCATTGTCTTAATGACATCAGTTTGGTTTTCATTTTGAAAGAGTTAGGGCATCTGACAGTGCAGTCTAATCGTAGTCCATTTTCAGTCCTGTCTTTCAGTTTCTTGTTACACTGGTAGGAATTGAGTTATGAGGTGTTCATGGGGGAGTGTCAGAAGATCTCCTTTCCTTCAGAAGAGTTTCCTGCGGTAGGAGGGTTTATGATTTCAGTTGCAGGAAATTTGACATAAAATGTATAAAAGAAAATGTGGGAAACATTTCAGGATTTCCTGTGACCTCACAGTAACTTGCAAATCAAGGTAATGTGAGCTGGGCGCCGGTCCATTGTTTCCCCACAGCCACAGGAAGCCTTTCCAGGGGTCTCCACGTCTTTGCTGCCCCTGAGTGCTGCCTGAGTACCTTTCACTTTTTGACAGTCTGGTTTATAGATCATTTTTGTGAAATTTTATCTGACAGCATCCTGCTTTTTATAAATTAACAGAATGCAGATGCATTAAGAAACTTTTTTGCGGTTAAATTTATTAGAGAGAGGCATTCTAACTATTAGAGAGAACCAGACTTATCAAGGAGTGTGTACTTCCTGCCACCAAAAAAAGTGAAGGCCTTTTAAACGTGTCCTGCAAACCCTAGAAAGGGTGCAACCTGTATACAGCAGGGGCAAGTTGTGAGCGCGTCTTCCCCTTCCTTTCATATTTGACTCATTTTTCTTGAGGAAATAATATCAAAGACTGTACATCTGATGATGCCACTTGGCAAATCCAGCTCTGCTCTCCCTGGTTGGGCAGAGTGTTCCCAGAGATTTTTTGTAAACTAATATCTTTTTTCATTAAACCTAATGGTCTTTGCCTTATTTTAGCTTATTTCATAATGTTTATTTTATCTTCAAAGTGAATACCCAACAATTTTGAAATCCGGGAAGTTCAAGCAACTACAACCAATAGCTTTGATGACAAGAATTGAGATTTTGACCACCTACTTCCAGGACAAGTGTGAAGTTTGACTGGCATCTTGCCAGCCAAATATAATCCTACCCTTGCCTATAGAATTCCCAGTATTACCCAAACACAAAACTTAATATCGTCTCTTGAGACTTGTGGTGATGCTATGTTTAATTCAAAGTGAAATGAATGTCAGTATTCCATCATGTTTTTGTTCACTTCATATACAGTGGGAAGTGCTAACAGGAGGTTCTTTTTCTTGTTGTTTTATTACTACTGGTACTTTGAATATGGTGTTTAAATAGCTGGAATGCCATTGAAAATATGAAGAACGTGGACTAATTCAGTTATAGACTTTACTAGCTTATCTGAAAGCTAAATCAGTGTAACTTATTCAAAGAAAATAATATTTTACATTTCTGTAGCGCCTTAGTATTTACAAAGTGTGTGTGTGTGTGTGTGTGTGCATATGTGTATGTATGTGTATATATAAGGTTAGTGGTGGGTCAGTGGTAGAACTCTCATCTTCCAGGAGACCTGTGTTCGATTCCTGGCCAGTGCACCTCATGTGCAGCCACAAGCTGTCAGTTAGTGAAGGATCGTATGTTGCTGTGATACTTACTCACTGGGAAGAAAGGCTTGGAGATTACTTCTGAAAATCAGGCAGTGGAAACCCTCTGGCTCACAGTGGTCAGAGCGGGAATGGCGCAGGACCAGGCACCCCTTCATTCTTGTGCATGAGGTTGCCATGGGGCAGGGGCCAGCTTAATAACAGCTAATAACAACATGTATATGCTTGTGTGGGTGTAAATGGAGGCTCACAACAACCCCAAAGTAGGAATATAACACGAATGCCACTCATATTTTCCAGGAGACATAGTCTCAGTTATGTGGCTGCAGCAGTGGGCTCAGGTATAGCAAGGATTGTGAGGCTGGTGCAGGAGAGGACAGTGATTCATTCTGTGTACATCGGGTCACTGTGAGTCAGAGCTGACTCAGCGGCACCTAACATCAACAGGGTTATAAAACCAAACCAATGCCAACTCATAGTGACCCTATGGGACAGAGGAGAACTGCTCCGTAGAGTTTCCAAGAGTGTAAACCTTTTACAGAAGCAGACTGCCTCGTGTTTGTCCCGCAGAGCAGCTGGTGGGTTCCTACCACCGACCTTTTGGTTAGCAGCTGAATGCTTTAACCCCTATACCATCAGGGCTCCTTACTAAGGTAGTGTTGTTGTTGTGTGCTGTCGAGT